TCTCTATAAGGCTTATATCTTAGAATCTTTATTCTTTAGCACACATTATAAGTATTTATATACTCGTAAACGTCCCTCTTCACCCTGGGCCACTAGTAACAACGCTGAATAACTTCGAGCGTTCTAGCTCGCCCAAAGTGACCCCCGTCTTAAGAATCATCATAATTAACCCTTAGAATCTCAGCCTTAATCGTTAAATTATTGGGAATATAAATAAGTTCATTTCGTCGGACTATTCCCACTTAATCTAGTGTTCAATGCCCTCCATCTACGAAGGTTGTTCATATTCGTACGTCCACGAACCGATTAAGACTCTACGCCTCCCGAATCTGAGCTTCCAGATTTACTCTCCCACCTAATTCGGGTGAGAAAGTCGGCGCTCTTTCTCTTTTAGAGGTCGCCTAGCTTACATTTACTAGGCGATCGTCCTCGATGAGTTCATTTAACTTATCGCTCTTCTACTCTAGCTCTACTTCGTCAGTAGAAGATATTAGACTAAAAATAGTGTTCTATTCACTGTTCCTTAGATACGGTTTTCGTAACGACTACGCTCTCGTTAATATCGTAATTCGAACAGCGCTAATCGATATCGGTACTTCACCGTCTCTACCCGATTCGGGTGGAGGCTCTAAGCGTAGAGCTATAAGTTTATGCAGTATATTGCCCTATTTATTAGCACTTAAAATTACTCGCTCATAATTAGGCCTTCTAGATAAGCCATTAGCGGGGTTTTTCTTACCTACCCTCCATTTAATACGAAAATTAAATACTGCTAGATCTTCTACCCAGCGTATTTATCTCTTTCGAGTCAATACCTTTATATTTATAAAGTGAATTAGCGCTTCATAGTTAGTGACTATAGTCACTATCTTAGAGAGGGCTTCTAGATAATACCTTCATTTCTTAAATGCGTATATAATCGCTAGTATTTCCTAGTTACCCGTAGAGTACCGAATTTCCTTAGATTTATATTTATGAAAGTAGAAGACTATAGATTTCTAAACGAATAAAGATTTCTTATTCGTTTTAGATAAGAGAATAGTGACCTTTTAGAATAATATATCTTCTAGTTCACTACTAGAGACATCGATCTTTACTCTTATCTCTAGATCTAGATCGTAATAATGAAGTAGAGGGGCTCTTTTAAAGCGCTTCTTAAGCTCTTAAAAAGCCTCATCTACTTTTAGAGTCTATTCTAGAGAGCTCTTCTTTACGCTATACTTTATTCTCTTTAGTAGATCTATAATTAGCGCCACTACTCTTAAGAAATTACGGATGAAGCCCCTATAGAAATTAGTAAACCCTAGGAATATCTAAATATCTCTAAATATCTAGGGGGTAGGTCATTCTCGAATGGCTACTACTCTCTAAGAATCTATTGAAACTTCTTCCTCATTAACGATAAAGCCTAGAAATATTACTTCTCTTATATAGAACTCGTATTTACTAAGTTTAATAAAAAGCCGTAATTTCCGGAGTCTTTCGAGCACTTATTTAATATAATCCTCGTATTTCTTCTCTATTCTACTAAAGATTAGAATATCGTCTATATATATAATGTAGAAAACGTCTAGTAAGTTCTTTAGGGACTCGTCCACGTATACCTAGAAGATAGCTAGGGTATTCGTTAGCCTAAAAGACATCACTAAGTACTCGAACTACCCATATCTAGTGCGGAATGCTGTTTTTCACTGGTCCTCTACCTTAATGAGGATTCTATAATAAGCATCTCGTAGATTTAGCTTTATAAAGAGTTTTACTTCTACTAGACGATTAAGGATCTTAGATATTAAGGGCAATAAATAACGATTCTTAATCGTGACCTTATTTAACTCTCTATAGTCTATATAGAGGCGAAGTTCTCCGTCTTTCTTTAGAATAAATAGAATAGGAGCCTTAGTAGGTAAGATACTTCGTCGAATTCACCCTTTCATTAATACATTATTAAGATATTCTCTTAGAGCCTCGAGTTCTCTACTACTTAAAGGGTAGATGGGCCCATAGAGTGCTATTATACCTAGCGTAAGATTAATTATATACTCTACCTTCGACACTAGTGAAATTTAAGCCTCGCCCGGATCTAATGCTACGTCGCTATAGCTAGTATAAAGAGAAGATATATCTTCGTCTTTACTTAATATAAGAGTTCGGAGGCGGGTGAAACACTACCCCATCCGATTCGGGTAAGAAACCCTTTAAGATTTCTCTAAAGATTAATACTATATAATGTAGATTTTATCCTTCTCTTAAATAAGCTCTTACGCTATAATTATGCTAATTTAGGTTTAGCGATCTAAATCTCTTACTACCTAGATACTATCTCTAAAATTGATGTCGGGATTAATTGCTTCGAGCCAGCGTATACCGAGTATTATATCGAATCTCTCGATATTCGTAGATAATAAATTAAGTTTAGTCTTAGTAGTCCTCCCCCGGTCATTAATGGTCTAAACCTCGAGGCTATGACGACCGTAAATGGTGATCTACCGACCATTCATAGCCTTCCCAAATACATCTAGTAGAACGCCTTTTAAACTAAGCCTAACAATAGTTATCTATGAGATGAAGTCGTCCTATACCCCACAGTCCATAAGGGCCCGCAATCGATGCTTCTCGCCCTTTACTTAGACTATTACTTAAATACTCACACAGCGTTGCTCCAATGCGCCGTGTCTCGTAGACTAAATATACTCTAATGCGGTAGCTACGTTTACCACATTAGTATCTATTTTTTTATACCCTTTTCAGGGCAATTCCGTACTAGATGCTTTTCCTTATAGCAATTATAGCACTTAGGAACAAACGAGGACGTTGATTTTTCTCCCTGCTTAGCTTTAGACTTAGCTAATACGTTTAGCGAACTAGATATGTTTTTTTTCTCCCGATTCGGGTGGAAAGTTCTATTCTCACTTCCTATTATAGCCATCGATGTCTTTTACTTTAGGAGCTCATTGTTAGACACAGCCTTGAGGAAACCCGGTTACGAGTTGCATTGGCGCGACTCACCACACTCATTGGACAGATGGAAGGATCCACAGGAGAACAAGGCTGAGTCACGTGATATGCCCTGTTGGCTCTGTTGGCCCTGTTGGCCCTGTTGACAGAGCGCACAGAGCGCACAGAGCGCACAGAGCACAGGCATTATATATACACCCTCGTTACCCCTACATAGTTACACTCTCTCCGTAGCCAACTCATGTTATCTACTGGACTATACAGTTCTTAGTAACAGAGAAACCTTGCTCATATCGCGTGTGATCCACAACCAGCTCATGCTATACCAGGATTGTTGCTGAGAACCCTAACCCAGTTAGGATCAGTAGGGATCCTTAACACTCATTTCTTTTCCCTAAAGCATCCTTCTCCTTAGTCTTACCCTTTTACTCATTCGCAAAACGTGTCTTATGGCGATAGGCGGCCGTAAGGATAGTATCTCTATTAAGACGTATCTTCTATGGCTCTACCATAACTACGTTACGAATATTAGACTATAGACCGTGAAGGAAACGTCACATCTTTTACTCGACTTCCGTGAGCCTTAATATCTTTATCTTAGCCTCTACTTACTCTAGTTTATATAAGTACTAACGAACACTCTATTCTTTTCATTACTTTCTAAACTAAGCAATATAAGTAGCCTTAAAAGTGCGAGTTTAAGAGTCTTTAATAGTGTCTCGAAGGAACGTAAGGAATTTCTCCTAACTAGCGGGTACGTTACGTTGTCTATAATATATCTAACGAAGCTCTCTATCTAGCTAGGTTGCCGCCGTTTAGATGGCTTACTTAACTATCTTAGGGTCTATTAGGTTCTAGTGGTAGAACTCGAAATACATCTCGATGCCCATAATAAACTTAGTTAAGACCTAGTAACTACCCTTATTAAAATGCTTCGGGGGGTCCACCTTAAAGATTTTCGCGTAGCTAGCTAAATTATCTATAGCTAGTCGCTTATTATTCTCACCCGATTTAGGTGAGAGACTTCGAGAATATACTGTAGTCTCTTACATTAATCTCTATTTTATACTAAGAGTACCCCCTCTCCGTAGATAATGAATTCGGTCTATTTATTCTCGCCGTGTCCTTTCTCTTTTAAGTCTAGATAGTTCGGTCTATAATTATTCATCATCCATTTCTTCGAGGTCACTTACGTCCGTAGGCGTAAAAATAGAGTGTCGCGGGTTTACAGGGCCCGTAGTGGTCGCAGAGTCTTCATCGACAGTCCTCGACGAGACCTCGGGCGCCCCATTATCTCGGGGCGATAAGGGGTTCATTCTCACCTAATTTAGGTGGAAACTTATCCTAGTAAGAATGGTTTTTAGGGGTCTCCCTAGAATCGTATATAGCTACTACTAGCTCGATAGTGCCACTACGTAATAGATAAGCGTTAAGAATTATTAGAGACCTACGCAACGCAGTAGGTACAAAGGAATTAGAGTAGCTAAATACCTTATTCTATTCACGTAGCCCTATTAACAACGACTCAACGCTTAAGAAAAAGGAAGAGTTCTCTCTCAGCCGATTTAGGTGAGAGGAGACTCTTATAGCTTCCCCTCTTTCTGTCACGTGAAAAGGGTAAGGCAGCGTTAACCGATAGCCTTGTGCCTCAACCGTCCTTTGCCTTATCCTTTCCTTTTCTTTCTATACCGTCCACCCGATTCGGGTGGAGGGCGTAGAGTACTTGGGGACAACGGTGGGTTCGTGACACCCGCCCTGCCACAGGCACCCTATATTGAACGGCCGCCTCCAGGCCGGGGGAACTAGGGAGCGGATACGAGAAGGGGAGGTACTCCGGCAGAAGGCCCAATTGCTTGAGTACGGTGCCCTGATCCCAAGAAATGTGTTCGTGATACAGTCTGTCGCCGCGAATGTTGACTACTGCGGTGAACGGGACCTCAAGGTGCTTTCCTGTAACAGGAACACCTGGAAGCCTGGAAAAAGAACTGGGTTAGCTGACAGCAGTCCCGTAGAAACGAGAGACAATTGGATTGATTGAGTGCAGCTTACAGCCACGGGACATCCTGCGTGTGGGTGAACTTGAAAATAAACTCGTCGACCACTCGATCAATGCCAATGGTGCGGCTTATCAGCTCGAGTTCTGTATCGGCTGGGTTGCTAAAGATGAAGCTATCGCGGTAGAATTGCGTGAGTAGTTCACGACCCACCCCGCCTGTAAGCTATATCCTCGTCTGTTAGCAGAAAAATGCAGCGCAAATGACAGTGGGAACGACTCATGCTTACTGTTGGAACGTGATTCACATACGGTTCTTGAACCATGGTTGACATGGTGTGCTGCACCGAGCGATCAGCGAACTCGTAGTAAGTATGTTCCTCCCAGATGGTCTCCAAGTCGAAGTAGGGACCGTCCAGTTTAGGCTTGAGGAAGGTCAGGTTACGAGTGTGCGAAACCGCCTCAGAATTGTAGTGGAATTCCGGCGTGAAAGGGGTAGCAAACCTGAAGGATGAGACTGTCGAGTAGTGATATGTTCGTCCACCGCTGGTGGACGGCGATAGACCACTGGGAGGAGGGGGCCCGGCAATGTGCAAAAGTAACGCTGGGACTGAAATTTGAGGAACAGAGACCCCAGCATCTACATAGACAACTGCTGCGGCGATTCCTGGCTGCCGGCGAAACTGGGAATCGACAGCCGAGTTGAGCAAAGTGTGGTCGTAGACTAGTATGACTTATGTCAATGGAGACCACCCTGTCAGCGATGCCAGCGCAAGAAACCCATACCCACAAGTCCAATCCGGTCAGTGTTCTCACACATCTCGCACTGCTTAAGAGCATCGACAGTGTAGCTCAATATCTCTGGATCTGAAGCCAGAGCAGAGGCTTGGATCTCTGCGACAACATATCCCTCCTCGGCCCATTTGATGAGGAGAGAAGGAACGCCATCTAGATGCGTTCTGTTCTCTTCCGCTACGTCGGGGACGAGCGTAATGATACCAGGTCCATTCCGGCCAGATCGAGTCAATGGCTTCTGAAGTGTCAACCCGGGTCTGATCACTTGCGGACTGGGCTGGGGCAATGGCTTCGGAGGTTTTGTGATATCGGCGTACATTCCGGGTAGGAAGCGACAGCGGCCTTGCACATTCGGAAAGGAGGTTGAGCAGCGGTCGTAGAGATAGGAACAACGATCTCAATATGCTGCCTCGTAATGTCACCTTTAAGAAGACTAAAAAAAAGGTGCTAACGTTGTTGATGGTGAATGTTTGCTCTGTTTGAACCACTGTTTTGGTCGATAATGGTTCAGAGATCACCACGGGGTATGGGTGTCTAGAGGTCTCCAGAAGTCTGGTGCACTACCCGACACTCGACTAGATCCGGGCATTCCGGGGGAGAATTGCATATGGTAAAGATCCGTACGTATTGTAAGGCGACCACCAATGCACGGGCGGAACCAGTCCTCTCTGTCGGCTAACGCACCCACTTGCAGTATGTACTTGTTATCTCTGCCGGCAAAAAGTTGAAGCCTCAATTAAAGGTAGGGTTCCGCCAAGCAGTTCGCCAACAAAACGAGGTATAGGACCCACTTCTCGAGATAGTCGTTGGAGTCTGCATATCCTGGCGGAGGAGGCCAGGGGGTACAGTAAATGACATCACGGCCACGACCGTACAAGCCACCTAAAGTTCGTGCGAGGATCCCCGTTACGCTGGCTTTCTCATGAATTTACTGCTCGGCGCGGTCGGGGTTGTCGGGCTTTTCCCAATAGCTGAGCTTTTGGCGGGCGCCAACTGCTTTGCCAGATATCATGTGAAGGGGGGTTACCTTATCGGGCGACCACCAACGTATACATGAAACATCGCAGGTCGATGCATAGGAGCTGAGGAGTTTTGAAAAGTTCTTTGGAAGTTGGAAGACGCTACCCCTCTCGTACCTTTACTGAATATCGATCTCTTCATTACCACAGGGACGAAGATAATGCAAACATGGCGATCAGCTTGAAAGTAATCATCATCGGCGCAGGTAAGGGCTTCGTGATGTTCACAAAACGATCAAGGAGACGAGAAATTCCTTCGCGAGAAGCGAGCTGACAAGTTCTCCCGGGATAGGCGTGACGGGTTTGTCGCTTGCCCAGGGATTGAAGAAGGTAATTATAAGGATTCAAATCATTATCCCTTCAATAGTTGCTTTTCGATAGCCTCAGCGACTAACATAGTGAAATTCAGCAAGGGATTGATTTCGAGATCTATGAGAGAACGAGTTCCGCTGCTCGTCACCGAGACTGGGGTATCACCGTCCACTGGGCGGTAGAGTTCTTGGAGCTGTACCCGGACTACATGGCGGACAAGCTTCGTGAAGCTCAGGTCGTCACTCGCAAGAACCCCAAGCTGCAGGAGCACGTTGAATTTCACGATGGAGAAACTGGGGCCGTCTTCAAGCATATTCCGTTGGGCGCCGCGAAGCGATATAGCCAAAAGAAGGTCAGGCAGGTTCTGCTGGAAGGGATTCCCATTCAAGTACGCTTGGCCAGGGTACAAATGTATATGTCTACAGGCAGGGTTGATTGACAAACTGGTGTAGTACAACATGGAGTTCAAATCGTTCAAAGTCCTTCCCGGAGGAATCGAAGGTACCTTTGCAGATGGCACGACGACCAAAGGAACCTTCCTTGTCGCTTGCGACGGAGCACGCTCTTCGACCAGACAACTCCTCTTCGACAACAAAGAGGACGCAAAATGGAAGCGGATTCCTGGCCTCATCCTCAACAACTACTGGATGCAATACACCAAGGAACAGGCTCTGAAGGTAAGGGCAGGCCTGAGTGAGTTCATGGACATTGCTGTCCATCCCAACGGCACCTACTATGGTCTGATCCGTAAGTCACTATAATTAGCCACCCACTATGATGCCTCGAAATACTCAGACCAAGGTTTATAGCTCTCGACATCGACGACGAAAAGAGTCCGGAAGAGTGGAAGTTCCAAGTCTTCATGTCATTCGCAGCCGATTTGAAGCCCCAAGAAGACACCCCCGAAAAACGTTTCGCATTGGTCAAAGAAAAGGGCAAAGCATTCACCGAACCCTTCAGCACCGCCATTGAATACATGCCGGAGGACACGATCATCACCTGTGATCACTACGGTACCTGGGAAACCCGGCCGTGGAACTCCCACGGTGGCCGTGTCTTGCTGGCCGGAGATGGCGCTCACTCCATGACCCCACGTAGGTCTACCTTATCTTGTGACTTTGATCTGAGAGTACCGAGGGTGTTACTAAGAAATAACCGGAATATAGATCGTGCTCAAGGTGCCAACCATGCCCTGCAAGACGTCATCAACCTGGTACGCGCGTTTGGCGATTTCAAGGAAGGCAAGCTGGACGAGAAGGCGCTCGCTAACAACTACATGAAAGAGGTCGTCGACCGAGGTTCTAATGAAGTACGCATGTCGTTGAAGCAGGGTTTGGCGGCTCACGACTGGGCAAACAACAAAGACATGCCTATTGTCAAGATTGGATCGACACCGTTGCATATCCAGAACTCCTCGGTGCCGCTCCCTACCCAAGATCCGAATCAACTTTGACCGTTTCGGAGACGATAGAGGGCAGAGAACAATTTACTTGAAACTCAAGTCCTAGCTGTCTATTTCAGTACAATGAACTCGATCTGATTGATTTACGCATGAATTCTCTATAGCCCAGGATTCTGAATACGAAAGCAGTACAAAATGAGATTTCAGGCAAATAATGGGATTTCTCTGCCTCATCTGCTGACACTTCTTGTTCATATGGCGTGTGCTACTGACTACACCCCCTAACTCTCCTTCCCTCTATATCGCAACCACAGCCGTCGCCTCAACCTCAATCAAGAAACCAGGCGTAGCGAGTGCCGCCACACCGACAAGCGAGCTGGCCGGCCGATGCACAGGCTCACTCTTCTCCCCTGCGACGCCCCCACCCAGAAAATCCAGCATCACTTCAGACACGATATCGCGCTTCGAGACATCGAAATCGCAGACGAAGATCGTGACTTTGATGATGTCTTGCGGCGTGGCTCCCTTTAGGGCCAGCACGTTGGCGACATTGGCGAAGGCGTTCACGGCCTGCTCGCGGAATGTCTCTGGGAATGGTGTCCCCTGTGGTGATGAAGATGGAGGCGCCCCGACCTGGCCGGCCGTTTGGAGTAAGTATGCGGTCGGATTAACCGGGGGGATGGGGACGATGGTCAGTTCTGAGAACGGGCCGATTGGGGGTCGGTCGGACCGGTTGAGGGTGCTGACAATGGAGGGGACCATGGTGGGCGCAAGCTGGGGACGATTGTGCTTTGCGCACAGAAAGTGGTTCAATCGTTCATACAGTAGGTCTCAGGGTTCTGGACCGATAAATGTTGATTTGGCAAGAGGTAGTGTAACGAAATGCTTCGAGGATCTCCGCGATGACCGCGGGAAGCTATTGAGTTGCTTGATGATTGCTCGGTCAGATCTCGTCGAAGTCTATAGACCATTGATGCGAGTACGCTTTCGGCAGAACAATTCTAGCACCATGCAATAGGTATGCTCGATCGATCTACTGTGTGCAGCGACAGTTCTCTCGGAGGCCCGATCAATGCCGAGCACACCGAGGCTCAAACGACTATCTAGTGGTGGAAAATCACCATTGATAATGTGATTAGCGTAGAGGGTCACCAAGAGCTCCGCCAAATACCTGGTCAAATTCAGATTCGCTCGCTATCAACATATATCCTGAAGTCCCGGAGACCTACATCCAACCCACTCATCAACGTCAATAACTACAATGGCTACAAAGACTGAGACCCTGACCACGCGCAAGGCTGTCCAGACGGTCGACGGAGCCATCGAGGAGGCCACGGCACAAGTCAAAGAGCGATGCCAGAATCTAAACTCCTACCCGATGTGGACCGTCAACGACAAGATATCCAAGCTCGTGCCGAACCCGCGTGCGGTTCCGACGAAATGGACGTGGTCAGAGATGAGACAGCTCATGCTCGATACCGCCGAACTTGTACCTGAGGACATGGCAGAGCGACGAGCATTGATGATGTGCAATCCCGGTTTTGGTGAGTGCAGGGTCTTTTCTTGTACCTACGATGGCTGGTCGTAATCTGCCCCTAATCTACAAATAGGCGAGGTCAAGGGACCATCCCCTTACACCACCGACACACTCTACGCCGGTCTTCAGATGGTGCTGCCCGGAGAGACCGCGCCGGCACATCGACATATCGCCTATGCCGTGCGTTTCATCCAGGAGAGCCAGAAAGGCTTCACCTCAGTCGCAGGCCACAAGATGTACCTCGAGCATGGCGACTTGGTACTAACGCCGTCATGGCAGTGGCACTATCACGGAAATGACGGTTCAAAGCCAACCATCTGGGTCGACTGTCTCGACATCCCGCTGCAAATCTACGGGAGAACAAATTTCCTCGAGACGTACTGCACACCCACTGTGCCAGATCTGTAAGTGTGGCATTGTTCAACGCCTTCTGTCTTCGAGACCTTAGCTGTCTTACAGTTGTGGTCTTTCATCTCCTGTTTCTCTGGTAGCGGTCACGTGAGCTAACATTAATATCCCCATCAAGAGTGACCGATGAAAGCCCATTCCACTTCCAGTGGAAAAAGACTCAAAAGGCTTTGGATGCGCAAGACAGCCCTCACACCGTGTATCACTATCTGACCAACGGAAGCCCCTTTTCGAAGACCATTGCCGCCCAAGCGGAACGCATCAAGAAGGGCCAGATTGCTCGCCCACCGCGGGAAACAACCTCGTTCATCTACGTAGTCAAGCAGGGAGAAGGGAAGACGATCATCGACGCTCCCACCGGTCAGCTGACCGTCGAATGGAACGACAAGGACGTCTTCGTTATTCCTGCTTGGTCTAAGGTGACGCACGTCACTGGCGAGCGCGGCGATGTGTATCTGTTCGCCCTGACGGACCGATCGATTACGGACAACCTCGGGTTGTCGAGGACAGATTATGCGAGGGACTGATGCTGATTTTGCGTTCATCTTTGACGACATTGCCTTGAAGGTACCGTCACTGAGGCCCCTCTTGTAATGCTGATCTTTATGGCGGCTGCACTCATTTCCGTTGACGCATGGCTCTTCTGGTTTGGCGTATTAGGAAATGTGGTTGATTGGAACAATTTAAACAGTTTTCGTGATAGTAAATGGCCTTTCCCCCCTTTTTCCAGTCGCTATGCATGTGCCGTCCGTCAATATAATAAGCGTCGATTGCAAAAAAAAGGAGCATAGGGTAGACCTATCTGCAATCCTCTCAACCTATTGTATCCCATTGACAAGTTCCTCAAGATGTAAACTTCTAAGTCAAGCAGGCAAAGCCAATCCATCACCTCTACCATCGCTGCCGCCAGTCAAGACTCGTTGACCGGTCTCGTCGGTCCGAACTTTGATCGCCTGCCCTCTACCGAATCTGTTCCTTGACCAGCCCTTCAGAACCTGGACGTCATGGCCCATGGCTTGTAAAGTTGTCGCCACGGACTTGTCGATGCCCTCTTCCAAGAACAAGCTCCCGATACTGTCAAGCTTTGGGGACATGGGGTTTTCGATACAGAGTCGAGGCGCGTCTACCGCCTCCTGCGGAGTCATACCGAACACTTCCATGTTCAACAACACCTGTACGTGTCCTTGCGGCTGCATGAGCCCACCCATCACACCGAACACCGAGTGCAAGTCACGGTCGGGTCCTTGAGTGGCCAGACAAGGGATGATCGTGTGATACGGTCTCTTTCCGCCTCGATAGATATTTGGGTGGTTATCAGGTCCAAGATGAAACCCGGCCCCCCGGTTCTGAAGCGTGAATCCACAGCCTTGGGGAACGATGCCGGATCCGAATTCCATGAAGTTCGAATTCACTACGCTCATCCCATTACCGTCCTGGTCGACAACGGCAAAGACGACCGTGTCGCTACGGTTTTGCGCGGGACTCACTCCACCAAACTGTTGGCCCTTTGCGTGATTTCCCGCCTTCTCCTTGTTGAACAACTTTGCGCGCTCCGCGAGATATGGACGCGAGACCAGCTCTTCGGGCTTTACGGGACTATGCTCGGGATCCGTGACCCACCAGTTTACATCAGCAAAGGCGATCCGAAAGGCTTCGGCAACCGCATGGATGTATACGGCGGTGTTGTGATCCTCCTTCTTGAAAGTAGGTATTTGCTTCGACTTTTCGAGCTCCTCTAGGATGCCAAGGGCCATGAGAGCCACGATACCCTGTCCATTCGGGGGGTGCTCCCACAACTCGACGAACTGATCCTTCGAGGTAGATGATCCTCGAGAGCCCACGCCCTGGCCCCTGAACTGTAGTGATACTGGAACGACCTCGGAGTATCCCTGGCTGGCGTAGTCCTCGAGGTCCGACAGTTCTAGATGTGCCCCTTTTTGTTGGAGAACATCGACAATGGCTTTGGCGATTCTCCCGGTGTAGATGCCCTTCTTGCTTTCCGTGGCCAGAGTCCTGAGCGTTTTCCCAAGATGGGGATTTCGGAACACTTCCCCCGACTCAGGAGCCTTGCCGTTTGGCTTCAATAGCTCGACACCGTACGGCGACGCGCCTTTGAGTTTGGATTCTCCATTCTTCCACTAGAGTTTCGAGTCAATCTCGGCACCATCTAGTACCGGTGGCCTTCACTTACCATTGAAGCCGAGATCTCGCTTACAGGGAAGCCTCGCTCGCACAAATCGATGGCCGGCGTCAAGACTTGCTCCAAAGTCAACCTCCCACTGCCGAACCTCTCTACCGCATCAACCCATCCTGCCGCAGCTCCAGGGACCGTGACCGCCAGCGGACTGGTAAACGGGACTTTGCCCTTCGCCAGACCCAGCTCTTCCCGGACCTGTTTGAGGGTTGTGTTCTTTGCGCTTCGTCCTGAGGCGTTGAGCGCATGTACCGTCTTTGTAGCGGCATTGTAGAACAGAAAGAAGGCGTCCCCGCCAAGTCCAGTCGATGCCGGTTCGGTCACGTTCAGCGCCGCAGCTTCATGTAAGAGTTAGACCACCACTTTCTCGCGGTGTCGAAGAATGCAAGACGAACCTACAGCGACGGCAGCATCCTGGGTCCAATCAATAAACAGTACTCAAACAAAGAGCAGGCACGGGCTTCTTACTGCTGCGTTGCCCCCCAATCCCAGAATCGTTTGTCCTGCCTGTGCAGCCAGAGGTTGCGAGCACGCTACCATACCCTTCGTGCTATGGACTGCGCTGCGACGCGCTGGAAACCTTTCAAAAGGCTTGTCGCTCGATTGAAACGCCGGATACATCTTTGGCAAGGATGTTGCTACGAGCTCGAGACGCTGCTGGAAAAAAAATTGGCGACGTGAAAGGTGCAAGCGTGCTCAAGTATAATTTCGACAATGTTCTCCGTCAAGCAGCTCTGCGCAACTCCCTCGTAGAGATTTCGAATGATGCAAGTTACCCTAGGTCTCCATCATTCCTCCAGGACACACGGGCTCCGTGGAAGCCTGGGGATCCAACATACTGCATCGTGCGCGTGCCGAGCACGGCCGGTGCGTCTGCTGAGCGGTTGTTGTACCACACCGAGCCTTTGGAAC